ATATATTTTTTTCTTTTCTTTCTTCTCTAAATTATGTGATATATCTGTGTTTTAATTTATTGCAATGTTGTTATAATTGTATAAATTGCCATGTTTAAATTAGATAAACCTATAGGGTTATGCAGTAGTACTTTGCTTGTTTTCTTACTACTTTTTTGTTATTATTATTATGCATGTTTTTAATTAGAATGTAATTGCATGAACTGTTGTGTTTTGAATGTCATCTGACTTAGTTAAGGCTAGAACCTTAGGCTGCATATCTATTTTGACTGCTAATCGTTTATGATTATGCACTCGTTTGATCACCTCACATATTAGGAGAAATGTCCTAAAATCAATCCAAATTGCCTGACAAATGTTTTCAGAAATGAACAGGGTAAAAAGGTACCGAAAGTGCATTAGTTATCCAATTAGTGTAATCAAGTCCCTGAACTCATTTAATCTCTGGTTCGTAGGAATAGGGTGATTCTCCCATCACCCTATTTGGATTTCTAATCGACCCACCCCAAATCGATTAATGGCAACTCTTGATGAAAAACCAATTGCAGGTTAAAAACTTAAACCCTAAGTCGCGATATGATATGGGCTTGGGAGAGCCCGAGTTAAGTCCCGAACCTAGACTTAGCCCGTATCAGGCGAGATACCCCTTTTTTGCATGATCGAAAAAAAAGCGGGAGGTCGGTCGCGATAACATTAAATTATACTATTCTCTGCTTCATTTATAGAATTGTCTCTCATACATGAAAGTTCATTTTCTTGCTAAAGATGAAGCTTATATCTCAAACATTTGAATTTAAGACGTTCTTCGTTTCAACTAATTTTTTCTCTATTTCAATGTTGATTGAGCATCTGCCTATTTCACGAAATGAAATAGATGTTCGAAAATCATTTTGCTACCAAAATGATTCCATAAGATTTGGATTCTCTTCCTACTTTAGTCAAGTTTCATATGACACGATCATAGGGAGAAATGTTTCCATTTTCATTGAAAAATAAACGCGCTGTTTTAATTGAACTGTCAGCAGGTTGACTCCAGCTTTCCCGTGCCATGATCCGAAAAAACCTAACACGTGTGTCTGGATTCAAAAAATGAAGGAGACGAATACACGGTGGCTGGTTTGAGGCATTTCCACACAACTATTATATGTTAGCTTGGTGGAAATGGGAAAATCCAGTCCAGAATGATTATTGTCATTATTTCATTGTACTATGTCTATGTTAGAAGATAGTGCTCGTCCGTTTGGCTTGTTGGATGTTCGATGAAGGAACAATTTTCTAACTCGTTGTTGTCTTGGACCGCCATCAAGGTCCGCTGTCTCCTTTAGAATCTTTTCTGGTCGCAATGGTCTAACGTGCCAACTAATCCAGCAACAAAATGTTCACGCATCGCACGCCAAAGTGGACTATAAAGGCAGACCTGCTGCTATTCAGATATATTTTCGATATTTTCTTCTTCTTTTTTGACTTGATAAGATATGTGCAACCCCAAAAGTCTGGAGTTGCATTTTCCGGAAATGAACCGAGGTCCCACCTTCTTAAGTTATATGTAGCGTTCTATAGATGTCTCTATAGATAAATTACCTCATAAGCTGTCATTGTTGGCTCTAAGTTTTGCAAAGGACGTCAAGGTGATAGAGGGAAGGAAAATAAGAAATTAGACAACTATTTTATCGTACCAGAATACATATAATTACACAAACTCAACATTTTTTTCGCGGTAGATTTAATTCTTAAGATAGTAGGATATCAGTTGAAAGTATTGTTTCGTCAAATTAATATAAATTGTTTATGCACATGATTAGCTGAGCCTAATAGACCGCTAGTTGCAATCTAGTTTCACACCAAATGATGAGCTGAAAATCCCCTCTTACTGACGGGCACCCTGCGATGGTCATGTTAGTGCGAGAATCTTTCTTAGAAAATAAGAGAGATTTATTTTGGTCTGGTCTACTGAAGAAACAAAGTTTCAAAGCCTTATCGAACTTTGATAATAATGTGTAGAGCTTATCTCTACATGTGCTACAAGCATGTTGTGCCTTCGCACGAGTTTGCAATTTTTGCACGTGTTGGAATTGCGATTTTCGTTATCCTCATTTCCACTCCGTTACTCATCTTACCTCTTCTGTTAAGGAGGTCCAAAAAGTTCCCTTCGAGTAACTAATCTCTCTCCTTCGTGAGAGCTCCTCCCTCTCCTTCGTGAGAGCTTCCATCTCCCTCATTGGGAGTCTACCTCTCCACTTTGTTGGAGTTTTCTCCTTCTTCAACGCATCATCTCTTCGTTGTTCTTTCTTCATCGATTTTTCATTCAAGGTTGCCGATTCCCCCTGACTGCGACAAAGCCGATCTGTTTCGTCCGTGCTGTCTTGTTCTCCACTGATTGTGCGTCAGCGAAGGAGATGTTCCTTTGGCAGCGTCTCGGTGATGCCGATACTCGAGTGGTTCCCTGCCCATATTTCATTGCTGAGTGAATGCACACCAAGCGTTTGTTCTAATGCCTGATAGAAAAGTCTAATTTGTTTGTTTGTACTCCTCCCGATCTCTCTTTCGTGAGAGCTCACCTCTCCCTTTTTGGGAGTCTTCCCTCCCTCAGTGGGAGTCTACCTCTCCACTTTGTTGAAGTTCCCTCCTTTCGTCATCGCATCAACTCCACTTACTCCCTTCTTCACCCATTTCTCGTCAAAGGTTGCCAATTCCCCCCTGACCGTGGCGAGGACGATCTGCTTCATCAGTGATGTCATGTTCTCTGCTGGTTGTGTGCCAGTGAAGGAGATGTTCCTTCAGTTGGGACTTGTTGGTGCTTGGTGATGCCAGAGATCGAGTGATCCTCATCTATACTTTGACTGATGAATGAGTGCTCACCAAGTGTTTGTTGTAATGCCTGGTAGTTAGCGGTTGGAGAATGGTGGCATTTTCATGGGTGGTGTGATTACTGCTCTAGCCTCAGCCCCTGTAATTCAGATAAACAGAAGTTAAGTGGGCAGATAAATTCCCACACTGTTATTCTCTGCTGGTTATGCATTCACTACTTTGTCCATTGAACAATAACTGAAGGCAGGGTCTGGTTTTTTTGTTGACGACTGGTGGTGATATCTTCCAGCTCGAACAGATTCCAGTACCTCGGTATGGCTGGAGGGGGTCAATGAAAATGCGCTTAAATCATTTTAGCACACCAAGTGTTTGCTCCGATGCCTACTAGGAAGTTGTTAGAGAAGTTTGGTGTTTTCTTTGGAGGTTGCTGGTGATTGAGGAGTAACTCTTATTCTGTCGCTAGTGGGTAAAGAAGGCGGGCCATTTACTGCCCCTTCGTTGCCATGAATATTATAGCCTGGAATTGTCGAGGCATTGTAGGAATACCCACTCTGAGAGAGTTGAAGGCTACGTGCCGAATTTGTAACCCAGATATTGTGTTTCTATCGGAGACAAAATGTGATACTAGTCGGATAGAAACTATTACACGACGGATTGGATTTACCCACTCCTTTTCAATTCTTGCGGATAATACAGCGGGAGGTTTAGCTGTCATTTGGAAAGATCCTGTGGTCTTATCCATTTCCTCCGCAGACAAAAACCAAATTCATACGGAAGTTTCTATCAGAGAAAATCCTGAGCATTTCTTGTGGCTTTCGTTGGTGAATGCCCCCCCTTATTTTGGACTTAAGCAAGCATTTTGGGAAGAATTCACTAGTCGGGTTCGAAACTTGGGAGAGGATTGGGTTGGAATTGGAGACTTCAATGAGATTATCTATGATTAAGAGGCGTCCAACAGAAGGGGCCCGGGCCCATCTCGTCGCTTCCTAGTGGACTTTATGGATTTAGCGGGCTGTGTTGATCTTGGGTTTAAAGGCCAACCTTATACATGGGCAAATGGTAGAGGGGGCTTTGCAAGCGTTCGAAAAAGACTGGATCGAGCAATCTGTTCAACTTCATGGTGTGAGAAATTCCCTCGGGCAGGGGTTGTCCACTTACCAGCTGTAAATTCAGATCATTCTCCTATTTGGCTGAATTCGACTTCCCTTGAGGATAATTCGAGACGCCCTTTTAAATTTGAAGCCGCTTGGTTGCGAGATTCAACCTGTGTTAATGTTGTGGAAGAGGCTTGGAATAGTGTGGTGGACAATTCAATGGCCTCTTGGCATAGGAAACAAAAATCAACTGAGATAGCCCTCAAAAAGTGGAATAAGGAACACTTTGGCATTTGCCAACGCCTTAACAAGTTGACTTCATCACTTGTTTCCATTCAAATGGAGGATCCTTCAGAAGAGAATAGCAAGAAAGAAAAAGAAATCAAGGCAGATATTAATGAGCAATGGGAGAGACTGGAGATGATGTGGAAGCAAAAATCAAGACAATTGTGGCTACAAGAGGGTGATCGAAATACCAAATTTTTCCATCTCTCTACCACTATTAGAAGGCGCAAAAATTATATATTGGCAATGCAAGATGATGGGGGCCGATGGATCACGAATATGGATGAGATCAAAGGATTTTTTCTATCCAAGTATACAGAGCTTTTCTCGGGACCAACACTCGATCCACACCCTTGCATAGGGGAGTTATTCCCTAAGGCTATTTCTGAAGAGGAAAACTTTGAACTTTTGAAGATTCCAACGGAAGATGAAATCTATAGAGTCCTAAAAGCGATGGCCCCTCTTAAATCACCGGGCCCAGACGGATTTCATGCCATCTTCTATGTGAAATGTTGGGATGTGGTGAAGGCCCAGATTATCCAATTTGTACAGCAATTTTTTCGCACAGGTCATTTGCCCCACCTCATTAATCATACTTTCATAGTACTTCTCCCAAAATCGCAGAATGCACATACCTTTACCTAGTTTCGTCCCATAAGTTTGTGTAATGTGAGCTACAAACTTATCTCTAAGTTGTTAGCCAATAGACTAAAAGGGTTTCTTAGCCGTTTGATTTCACCTCAACAATCGGCTTTTGTCCCGGGTAGAAGTATACAAGAGAACTCAGTTATGGCATAGGAAATCATAGACTCCATGAAAAAGAAACGAAATGGCAGGGCTTTTGTGGGAGTAAAGGTGGATATGTCCAAAGCTTACGATAGGGTTGATTGGGTTATTCTCGATACAATACTCCATAGCGTGGGGTTTTCTGATCACTTTTGTAGACTCATAAATCGGTGTATTTCAACAGTTCATTATACTTTGCTCATCAATGGTAGGCCGGCTGGAGGTCTTACACCTCAAAAGGGTCTACGACAAGGTGATCCTATCTCACCATACCTGTTCGTAATTTATTCTGAACTTCTATCTCGAATACTCAATCGGGCAGAGGACTTAAAGATGATCACAGGGATAAGAGCAGGGCGGGACAGTCCACCTCTGACACACCTTATGTATGCCGATGACTTGTTGTTATTTGTTCAAGCCACAAAGAGACATGTGAGAGCGCTGAAGGAAAGCATTCAAATTTACTGCTCCTGGTCAGGTCAGAGCTTAAATCATCAAAAGTCGTCTGTTTTCTTCTCAAAAAACACTTCCACAGGAATGAAAAAATTTTGCATGGACGAACTCAACATGAAGAAGACAAATCCTGATGCATTGTACCTTGGCAACCCTCTCTTCAAACGTGGAAATGGCAGAGCTAGATACCAATTCCTTGAACAGAAGGTTGATAACAAACTTAGTCATTGGAAAAGGAAGTCCTTGTCTTGGGCAGGTAGAGCAACGTACATTCGATCGGTTGTTCAGAATAGTTCGATCTATGCTATGCAATCCAAGAGGTTGCCAAGAGTCACATGTGACAAACTCGATGCAGCCACTAGGAAATTCTGGTGGGGTGTCCCGGCGGAGAAAAATAAGTTCTTCACACCTAAATGTTGGGACTCTTTGTGTAGAAATAAGAAAAGTGGTGGACTGGGTTTTAGAAATACTAGGGATTTCAATAATGCTTTGATCCTCAAACTCGGCTGGGGACTGATACAAGATAGAGGCAAGTTATGGGTTCGACTCCTTGAGGGAAAATATTTACGGAGATCCAATTTTTGGAACCATGAGGTTAAGGCATCGGCATCTCGGTTATGGAAGGCAATCATGGACACTAGAGAAATACTCAAACTTGGCACTCTTTATCAGGTAGGAGATGGTAAGTCAATTGAGGTTGGTAATCACCCTTGGATTCCACACGTACCAAACCATCTCCCTTCTTTTATTGATCCTGATCCTATATTAAAGCAAAGGAAAGTAGCGAGCTTCTTTATCCCAAGGACAAAATCTTGGGATGTAAACAGTCTAACTCAGGTGTTTTGCCCAACCTCGGTCCAAGACATTCTTCAGATTCAAGTTCCATCCTCCATTTGGATGGATAAACCGATTTGGCAGCCAGCTATTGATGGAATTTTTACCGTTAAATCCGCTTATAAGCTCATCAAAGTGCCTACAGCAAATGGCTCTAACTCTGGAATCTGGACCAAAATTTGGAAAGCTAGAGTTCATGAGAGGCACAAGATGATGTTTTGGAGGACAACGGCCAATGTCTTGCCCTGTAGAGCTAACCTGGGTAGGTTATTTCACATTCCAGACCCTTCATGCCCGTTGTGTGGAAATTCAGAAGAAACTCCTGTCCATCTATTCACAGCATGCCCTTTGGCCCAGATTTTATGGAGACAGAGCCCATGGGGTATCATCTCATCTGTTTGGAACTTCACATCACCAAAGGAAATGATAAACCACTTCCTTGACCCAGGACGAATTGCAGAGATAATGGGATTCGATTGCAAACTCTTCACTCTCTATGCAGCGATTCTATGTACTAGAATGTGGTTTTATAGGAATTCCATTTTACATGATCAAGCTATTCCAAATCCTTCCCAGGCAATTAAGTTGGTTTTACAGGAGTTCATGGAATTCTCGAACAAGTTCAAGGAAGAAAACACAGTCGCACCAAGTCCAGAAGCCGATTCGATTGGAGTAGGAATAGACACTTGGCTCCCACCGTCAGATCAAGAGCTCAAATTTAATGTAGATGGTGCGTGGAAAGATAACAAAGGAGCCATAGGTATCATTGCACGATCGGCTAGCGGATTAGTAGTCCAAGCTTGGACAAGGAGAGGTCGTTGGAACTCGCCTTTGGAAGTGGAAGCAGCAGCTCTCCTTCTCGCCTGCAATTATGCTCAGTCCCTGGGCATTCGAAAAGCGATCTTTGAAAGCGATTGTAAGGTCTTAATTGATGCCATCCAACAAAAGGGTCTTTGCCCTTGGAGTATTCAACCTTTCGTTGCAGATTCTCGCTTTCAATTTCAGCACAATCCATGTTGGAGCTTGGACTGGACCCGTAGATCCAAGAATGGAGCTGCTCATGCACTTGCAAATTGGGCCTCCAATCATATAGGCACCAAATCCTCTTTTCTTTACCATGATCTCCCTGCTAGAGTTAAAAATATTGTACTAGTAGAGTCTTCTTTTATATTTCGCTCTAATGTAGGTAATGCTTCCTTTTTGTAATTGCTTTGTTTGCAATATAAATTTTAATTTCTAGCAAAAAAAAGGAGGTCCAAAAAAAAAAAAAACCCAATTGGATACTTTGGACAGGTGTAATTGCACCGGTATCGACATGGGTCACACTCAATCAAGCAGGCAATGAATTATGTGATAAGTTTAGAAATGTCGTGGTCGTGGCTGAAATTTCAATTACTGCAACTTGTTGGCGAAGACGGAGGGGATTCTTTGGTTGACCATATTGGGAATGCGAGAGAAACAGGAAAAGAAAAAGAGAAGGAGAACTATATGGAGCAGCCTCATTGACTATTGCTCCTCCCAAATAAATGCACCATCGACGGTGTTCATGGAGATAAAGTACGCCTCCACGAGCTCTTGCCTTACTCCTGGAACTATTTTGACAAAAAAATTCTTAAATGCAACATAAAATTTTAGTTTATAAGACATTTTTGGAACAACAAACCTAGTAGCAGCAGCGCTAATAATAATAATAATAATAATAATAATAGGCCAATTCGGTGTGTTGCTCTCTAAGTCTCACAGAAGTTGTTTTCTTTGCAAGACCAATCCTCTATCTTGGTTCTCTGAATTTGTTTCCTTTTTTGGTTTTTTACCGGGGAAGTTGATACTTTGCAAGAAGCTTTGCCCGTTCATGGCAACCTGGGTTGATGATATTTGGGAGTTTGTTCCGAGTCTTTATCACATTTAAATGGCCGTGGGTCACAGTCTGAACATGTCAAAGTCAAGCAATGCAACGCAAGTGACATGCACGACTTGCGAACCCCCCCACCTTCTCCATTCATTTACTTCTGAGGGGTCCACCTCATCCCTTCACGCGTTTTTGGGGTCAGCTCTCTCCTCGACGAGTGATGTGCCGCTAGCGTCCCGATTTTGTGAGTATCCTGATCCGCCATTGTCGATAGCCCCACAGAAATGTGGAGGTACACAAATAATGGAGAAGTGGGCCACATATATTCATTAGGCTTGGAAAAGTTGGTGCGATGAATCACAAATTCCACAGCCGAGCACAAACATCAAGCGATGGATGAATAATTACAAGGACGATAAGTGAAAGCGGCATCGACCAGCAACGAGCAAGTATTTCGGGTAGCTAATACGTTCACTAAGTTCAATTGGGCGGTCAAATCTGCAGGGGGAGTGAGATCCACATGGAACCATCATTTTTTTCAGTACCAATAATATTCAGTTTAGTATATATACTATACTCATATATAATAATTTATCATCAGGAGGATACTAGAAAAAATCAGCACATACATAGCTTTTAAATATATTTATTTTTACTAGTAACTGCATGCCCGTGGACTAAAATGCATAAATTTTATCTACGCATGATGGGCACCACTCAAAACTACATTTATTTTCTCCGATATATGAACCAATCGTGTCATACTGTTTTTTTGGGCTAATGACTTGGTCAACAAATTTAAAGAATTTCTAATGTCAGCAAGACGACGGTTCCTACTAAGGATATTGGAGTTCAATTCAAAAGGAGTTGGCCTTTGTGGCCATCTTAAAGCCTAATGCGACAAGCAAAACGCAATTATCAAGCCCGGTTTCGTTTCGGAGTGAAAATGGAGAGGAGGCTTCACAAAGCAGAAGCTCAAGGAGATGCGACTTCTTTGCTCGATTTGCTCAAAGACAATCCATTGATTCTTGGTAGATGTATGACGTGGCATGGTCTTACAATGAGACTCCATTACATATAGCAGCAATGTCTAGACATGAGAAATTCATTGACGAGATTCTGGATGGAAAACTCGAGCTCACAAGAGAGCTGGAGTCTCAAAAAAATTATCGCCACAGCTAAAAGTTATCTTGGAGTAGTGAAGAAATTGGTGAGTGTTATAATGTGGATATGTGCTACGCTCGGGACAAATACGTGGGCTTTATTGAATATTTTAGGCCTAATGTTTTAACCTCTTTCTCTAGTGGCCCAATATCTTAATAGCATGGAAACAAGTCGATAAATAGAAGTGTGGAAGGGATTGGCACGTCGTCTTCTCCTCCAATCTGCCAATACTCCTATTTTTGATGAGTTTTCAAATTTGTGTTTCCTTCGAAATTTCTGTTCATCTGAATGAGTATATACGAGTATAAGTTCTTGATTCATCTCACTTTTCATTGATAAATTATGAAATGTGATTCGACTAAGCTGATCTTAACCCTTTCAAAAAATCTAGGTCATGGAGAATGTAATCACAGATGGCACCACGTTCAGAGTGAGCAAGATACCTAGGATTGTTACACTAAATACACTGAAAAAGTAGCGTTTGGCGAGATTTATTTGTAAAGTGCTTGTCCTTTTACTAAGATTTTGATGCACATAATGACTTTCAGGTGTACTAATTAATTTGATATTGATATTTATTGATATCATTTTTTTGTTAGTTTTCATATTGGATTAGGTGTTCTAGTCAACAAGACTTGATTTTTAATGCATGTTGGGTCATCAATTGAAGAGATTATGCTTTTAACATTCACATGCCGAAATAAGAAATTAAAGTTGATTGGAGGTGATAAGGAAATGAAAATTCAAGAGCAGGTGATGGTCCCCTGCGTTTTAAGTCATACAGAACTTGAAGACATGTGTCAGCGTCCCCTTTCTTGAAGATTTGGCCCATGGAAAGTAGACGCCTGACGAATTGACGGACTGCATTCTTTATTTTAACGTGCCGGTACCCGCATGCCCAATCCCTCAATTCCCCTTGAATCTTTATCTTCCCCAAGTACCCTCTAGGTGCTTTACATATGAGGGATGTCGAGATCCGCACGAGACCCCAGACGAAGCAGTTTAACCTCTTACTTAGGAGGGAAGTAGACAGCTGATTGGCGTCCCATAACCTTGCATTGCCTGTGGCGTGGACCCATAAAAAGAATGAACGTTAGCCGAACGTTGAAGAACATGCATATCTATGCTATATTATGGATATTCACCAGGATCCTCGTACCACATCTTTTTCAAAAGAAAGCCGAAACATTTCACTTTTGCAATCAATCCTTCATAAGTCACCGAATGAAATATGAAGTTGCTAAATATATAGAAGTTGGTTTAATTAGGTGATAATTCTACCGATAATGAAGGAAAAGACACCCCTTTTTATCCAGCAAACAAACTCTAGTTTCTAGTAGATGCTACCATAAAGCCTTTTCCTTTTTCGCAATGTAGTTAATTAGGCGCAAATGAGACTCACCTGGCATTCCAAAGTTTTTTTAACGTGAATGATTTTTCCAACTTACAAAAACAAAAACAAAAATGGTCCGTGTGACCATGTCCAGGTTCATCCAATCACAACAAAACTCATCCCAAATAATTTAAACCCAAAGATAAATAATGAAAAGCAAAAATCACCCCAAAGTCCTCACAAAGATTGAACCTGCGCATTCTAGCTAATTGCCCGATTTTCCTGGGAAAATCCAATTTTCCCCGCAAAAGCGAGAGAAACAGGAAAGAGGCAACACAGAAAAAGAATATAAAAACATGTACGGTGCAGCCCCATTGGCCGGCCCAAATTATTGCTCCTTCCAAAGAGATGTCAAACGCACCCTCGACGATCAAACGAATCAATCCTCTTTGAGATGCTAGTTGCACCATTCCCTTCACTTGCTCGTCAGTCTTGATCTCTACAAGCAACTTGCGGTCTTCATGAGGAGTCTCGTACCACATTCTCTTCAAAAGAAAGCCGAAACCTTTAACGTCAGCAATCAATCCTTCATAGGTCACTGAATCAGGGACGACATCTTTCTTTTTCCTCCATGTTATAGAAAACACACCACCTAATTGCTTTATTTTCAGGATGAAATCGATCGTGATAGGATGTTCCATCTGTAATGCAAAAAGTTTAACGTGAGAGCCAAACAACATATAAAATGGATATGTATATTAATACTTTTTGCATATTTACCACAGGCATCATTCACTAGTTACAGATAGATTTGGGATTAAATACTAAAATGTCCGATGGAATATCAATAAATAAGTTAGATAATTATCTACCTAGGAGTACTAACTCATCATGGATTCATTATTTTAAGGGGAGAAAAGTAATATTAGAACGCCCATGTAGATAAAACTTGCCGGTATCAGTTTTTCAGCTCTTGATTTGAAAATTATAACTACTCACTTTCTCACTAACCATCAGATAAAAAATTAATTAGGTTGCTTGTGGAACACTTTCTTTATATTGCTATAATTACTCAAAAATGGGGTCAATAGAAAACTTTTTAAATTCATTTTCGAATATTATAGTGCTACCATTTAGCTTGACTAATTTCTATTCATACACATAAACTATTATGTCTATGTACTTCAAGTAAGGCTTTACCCACATCTTAACAAGTGCGCTCCTAAGATAACTTTGTATTTTGCAATGTCTATCGTTTATCATGCTAAACAATGAAAAACTGTAGTCAAGGTGGTACAAGTAGTAAAATTTCATAAAATGCCCGACAAATGAGATGTCTTTTGCAATTTATTTTATTATTCTTGATGACTAAAAGGTTGCTGATGGTTCGTTTCTAGCTTTTTTCTTTTCATTATACCCAACCAACATGAAAGGGTTACGCTAATGCATTCTTACTTGTTCCTTCTTATCAATTGCAATGCCTCTTCTATCCGCATCTTGAGGATACTTGGATGTGAAAAATGCGTAATATATTGTTATATAGTTCTGAACATTTGTGTGTGATTGCAAAGATATTTTGACCCTAAAGATAATAGTAAATCATGTTATGGAATTTCCATAATAAGTGTCAATTTGAAACTTTACTATCAACTTAACTTTCGATATTAAATTTGATCATTACATGTAAGAAAGTCACAAGCATCTGGTTGAAGATATATAGTCATAAATGTATTTTATATGGCCGTATTCTTTATCTAATTTTATGATTGACAATTATTCTCCTAGTAAACTTTTTATTGAAGTAGGTAATCATGTCACCACCTCTAATAGTATTAAATATTTCTCTATAAGATGCAATTG